TTATTAAACTGATAAACTGCTTCCAGACCCTAAGTACTAAATAGCCAGCCCTTTGCCAAAATATTGTTAAATATAATTTACTACACAAAAAAAATCAAAACTCTAATACCTTAAGAAGCACAGTTAGAAAATAACACTACAAATAGAAAACAGCTACAGGTGTGTGTTTTGACTCTGAGAACTACCAACTGAAGAATTACCATTGTACCACGAAGTTAAAAAATCTAAAGAAATGTCCAGAATTACCTAAAAAAAGTAAAAAATAGTAAGTGTTCCACTGAAGTTAACCAAAAGGTCATTTTAATAGAATATTCCCTTAAACCTGCTTTACACATCACTGTAGGCTCACTAACTTGCAATTACATAGATTAGTGAAAACACACCCATTTTTCTACTAAAAATGGAACAGAAATGTAAACCAGATACATAGCAATGTTGCATAATATGGGGTGACAAGAGAGGACTAATCAAGACAAAACACAAACTGGCCACAGCTGAAATTAAAGACAACACTAATGAATACTGGAATTCAAAACCTGGGAAGTAAACTGAATTTTTTTCCTGTCCAACCTGACCATGGGCCAAATACACTAGAACAACTCATGTTTCTTTGAAATAAACATGTATTAAATGTCTTACATTGTTTTCCTGCAGGAACTGAATATATGCTTTTTAATTTAGTGAATAAAAATGTGAATATACAGAGTCTATGCCTATCTACATATAGTACATATATATAGCCTTAGACAGCTTATCTTTTTTTTTTTTTTTAAATATATTTTGGTACATGTGATAATTGTCATAATTTATATATTTTCAGTACACAGTAGTTAAATCACTGATACCTTAATATCAACCAAAATAAGCAGCATGTTGGCTGCCAGCACATGAAAAAAACAATTTTCCGTGTCATTATTTAGAGCTGTATTTCTTTATCATTGTGTGTGTTCTAAAAGTGGATCATCCACTCTTACCTTCCAATCAAATATGGTAGCTACAGTTTGAAAAAGGTTGACACAATCATACAAGGTGCCTCTTAAACAGAGTTGTTTCTAATTCAGCTACCTTGTTCAGAGGCAGAAACTGTGTTTTTAGTTGAGATTAATTTTATTTGTCAAAATGAGAAGAACAGCGGTTTAAATCACTTTATCTGTGACAGGTACCCAGTTATCAGATGGAGCCAAAGGAACAAGGAGTCAGGTTGAAACTAGCAATAGCTGCTTGACCTCGCCTTCTCCACAAGGCATCAAGGGGATTCTCGTGTTATCCTTGCTAACACTTCATATTTTTCATGTCATTTTTGTTTCCTGATAGTAAAAAATCAGAAATAATGCTAAAATTGAATTTTGTGGAAGGGCTTATAATTAATTTCAACTCAGGAAAGGCAAGGGAGTCACTAATCAGTTACTTGTCATTATTAACAAGTGAAAACATTTTTTTCCACCATCTGCAGGATCTGTGCTAATTTAGTACCATGTTCTTGTCTATTTATATTTATTAGGAAAGTGTTAATATTTAATTATTTTAAAATTGAAGGCTTTTTCCCCATTAACAGGAGCTACCGTGGAAACTACCAGCACAGTGCAGGGGTGAAAAGGTGGCTAAATTAAGTACGGCACACCCAGCTCATACCGACTTCTTTTCACTTACAGAACTATGTGAAACAAGATACTATAATTCACCTTCTTCTTGACTCTCTGGAAATTATGAAAGGGTGTAGGCAATGCTAAAATCTCTACTTCTATCAGAGTACTTAACTTCTGCAAAAATGCCTATATTCATTGGTATATCTCAGTCTACCCAGGATCTTCTTGTAAAGACAAGTGACTGTGGAAGTGTTCCTGGAACAGTAATCTTTGAATATTTCAGGAAGTCTTTCCTGGGCATTAACACCATTTAATTTCATAATGGCCAGGCCACTAACTTCCATCATAGCTTCTGCTTGTGAGTCTGCACCAAAACCATTTGCTTCATATAAGAAAATCTTGAAGACTCATGTCTTTGCAGTAAGGCTCAGTTTGCCCAATTCAAAAGCATGGTAAAGTCTTCCAATATTAGCCTGAGTCCTCTGATAGCAAGGAAGAGAAAGACAAGATAAAGTAAGAAGTGAAAAACTCAATTTTGGAGAGACTGTGGTAGAAAGAAATCTCTGGAGAAGAGGAAAAACTACAAACAGCACCAAAGGCAATGCTGACAAGCAAGAAGTTACTAGGATAGAAATCTGGTCTGCAGGTTTAAATATCCTTCCAAGATTAGTCTTGAGAAATTGGAATTATAATCTCCTTAGCAACAAGGAGGAAGAAAACATGCATGCTGGAGGAAGGAACTAACATAACAACTTTTGCTCTGGTGAGCATGTGCTTCATCTTGGTGCAGGCAATAAATGCTTTGCTACTCTTCAGAAAAACTGAGCTGCTAAAAACCTCTCCTGCTCATATTTCTTCCCCTGCAGCTAAGTGCCTAATCAGAGTGATTCACACCTTTGCCTTTCCAGATTTATGGACAGGTCATTTAGACTTGATAGGCTGAGTTCCCCATCCATACAGCACAGAAAATGGCACTTCCCAAGGTAAGAGAAGAGCTCTGAGGACAAATGCTGGAGGTGGATTTAGGAGCGGTGATGACAGAGATAGTACGAATTCCTAAGGCAGGAAGTTTGTGCCCTTTCCAAAAGTAACAAACAAGAACAGCTTTTACGTAGAGAGGATACACAAATAACATGAGATGGAAGGGCTCCAGGTATTATGTTTATTCTTGAAACACATTTGCTATTATTTCCTCTGTACTTCCTTCAGGCTATAGTGGCACTACTGAAATAATTATCTTCCTGCCACCTCAACTCAGGAAGGCTGATAAGAGACAGAGAAAACTTATTTTATTTTTCCTTGTGCCCACCACCAAGCAAATTTTTTTCATTCCTGAGGCAGCTGCTGCTGCTGCATCTTTCTTTCCCCAGAAAGGATAGAGAGAAGAAATTTAAATGGGGCAGCTGTCATGCTCCAACACGCTACAGTAAGCAAATGAGAATTGATTCAGGTGCACAATTCCAGCCTGTTTCCTACAAGTTGCAAGATGAGAGGTGCAGCTATGAGTCTTACTTTGGAAAGGAGCTTTGTAGTACTCTACCACTATCACGTTTGCATTTTAAAGGCAAGGGCCAGTGACTTGCATTCTGAAAGGCACACAACCTGGACAGGGCAAGTAGTGGTCTTCTGGCATGTACTGGCTATTGAAAGCAAAGAGCAAAACCCAATTAAAAAACAGGCCCAGACATAAAATCTTGAAATACCACTGAATTTGATTCCATTCCCCAGGGTCACCATCTTGCTCTGCTCCCCCTTCACAGATGTTCAGCACTCCTGATGCTCACCATCCCTGGGAGCTGCATCTACCCATATCAAGACTAGTTACTGCCTGCCCATTGATGTTCAGTACCTACTTCTTGGTAGTAACAGTTTGAGGGCATGATAGCACACACATGCTCTCTTTCTACGGGAATTTAACTAAAATTAACCAAAAAGGAAAATTTAACTAAATACTGTGTGATGCAAGGAATGTAATCTGTAACCTAGTATTTTTTCTTTGAATGACCCCATGACATTATCTGTTCCATTTACAGACAGCATGGGAAGTGCCACTGTGACTGCTGAGGTGTACTGCTGATGTTCATTAGCAATTTGCCACATACTACTCAGAACATATAGGCAGAATGTTCCCTGGAGCCAGGACACAGACCACGTAACCAAGAGACAAACAAGGATGTTGAATCTGAAGTGCTGCTTACACTTTATTAGACCTGTCAGTAATTCTGTCACTCTGCAGGAGGCACCACCTGAGCTTGTGTAACCGAGTATCTCTGCCTCATTAATCCTCCTAACAAGTATGAGGTGATAGGTGTTGTAACTAAAGAAACAAAATTAAATATAAAAACCTACATGTAATAAACACCATGAAGTTTATTCAGACACCCTCAAGGAAGGAACCTGGAGTCAGCCAAAGGACGATAATCTTATCAGTTGTATCCTAAATGAGGCCTGACCCACAAGGGTAATTTATTTCTGCAGAAGCATAGATGATAGCACGTACTCTGATGCTTCTATGACAGAAATGAGACTTTTTCTTCCATAATTTAGTACGAAAGTCATAATGGAAATACAGGCATTGTAAAAAAGGGTAATAAAAAGATCTTAAGATTTTTTTATTTGTAGCATTAAATTAATCACAACATTTATATCAGCAATCAAATAGAGTGAAATGGCAAACTGAAAAATAATAAAAATAATCTAGCTTCTGTTTTGCATTTTAAGCAGGATAGCAGGGGCACAGGAGAAAAAAACTCCATACATTTCAGGTCAGTGCTGTTTGACAGCACTTCTGTATTTCAGAAGAAAAGTCCTACCTTGAATTTCGAAAGGGAAGAAGTTGAAACGATCTCAAAAATGCCAGATTCTACTACATCAAGGAAGAAGTAGCGTCTACCACTACTTGCATGCCCTACGTATAAGAGACATCACATAGCATGCAATCAAGTTTCAGAAAAAAGGCTTCAGAAGATAATGCTGTCCATCTCTCCAACACGCTTTTCCATTTTCCTATCAGAACCACAAGAAAGGTAAAGAAATGTAACAAAATTCTCCTTCTTACTATATAGGATATAAAAGAAATTAATAAAAGTGAAATCCAGCTTATGCATGTGTAGCCTACACCAGGCAGGAGGTAGAACAGAGGATTCCTACCACAACATATGTGTGTATGGAGTGTATGTCTTTCAAGAGTATTCATGGCTAACCAAGAACAAAGCGACCAGCAACAAAACCTGAATTCATCTGTAAACTCTCTGGGTGATCCTGTATGCATTACATATATCCAAAGCATTTTGTTCTGGTAAAGAACATGGGAATACAATAAAGAGTTACACATGCAGCAAGTGGCATGCAGCACAGATCTGTGTTTGAAAGGCCTGTATTGAATTTGAACAAAAAATATTGAAAGATTCAAACCTGTGACCAGTTCTCTGATTTCCAAATCTGTAGTCTTGCGGAGTAACCGTACTAATGCTGGGATACCACCACAGTTTTTCAGAGCAATTTTGTTGTCATCATTTGCCTTCCCATATACCAAGTTTCTCAAAGCTCCACAGGCACTACGGTGGACTTCTGTCATCCGATGGTCCAATAGATCCACCAGTAACTGTATTCCGCCTTGTCTTCTTATCTGAAACAGGCCAAAGTGACAATCATAAGATTAGAGGAAGAACAACAGTATTCCATATGCTATCCAATGTGATTAAGCTGTGGTTTATGCAGGCTGTGCTCCAGCAAAGGTATGCCGAGAGCCTCACAAGGCTGCTACGTTACACTGCTTTGATTCCTTGTATTATTTTTTCAGCGGCAACATAACTGTATCATGACAAACCTGAACCTCTGTAAAAGTAGCCAAAAGTTAGTCAGGAGTGTTGCCTCCTCAAGATGAGGGAAGGCCTTACAGCACTCTAAAAATACCTGAAATGAAGTTGTAGTGAGGCGAGGTTTAGATTGGAAATTAGGAAAAATTTCTTCCCCGAAAGAGTTGTCAAGCACTGGAACAGGGACGTGGTTGAGTCCCCATCCTTGGAGGGCTTTAAAAGACGTGTATATTTGGTGCTTAGGGACTTGGCTTAGTGATGGACTTGGTTGTGTTAGGTTTACGGTTGGACTTAAAGGTCTTTTCCAACCTAAATGATTCTATGATTCTACGGTTCTATGACTCACTGAAAATAAAGACTGAGAAATGATTCATCCTTTGAGGTTCCAAAATCGAGCTATACAAAATTACTCATACATAAATCACAGATAAAACTCTCCTTATTCTACTGGCTTGTCTGGCATATTCATGTTTTTATAATAACACCAAGACTCAGCAAATAGAGCAGTTTTGCAGTTAAAAATGTATATACTGTGATTTTACATTATTAAATTGAAATGTTTTAATGCCTACACAGTTACAACACAGCTTTGGGCATTATACCATATCTGTCTTTTTAAGCAATATGCAGATCACCTTGAAGAATACAGCAGCTGGCACTACATGGAGTGTGCAGAGATGTGAGTGGACATTGGTAAAATATATCAACATCAGATGGAAGCTTTTTGAGAGTCCACGATTCTACTGCTCAGAAGAACCAAGACACCTTTAAGTTTAGAAACCAGACAAACAGATCAAAGAGAAAAAGTGTTACAATACATCTCACCGGTTAAAACTTTGCCCTTGTGAACACGATGACTTGCAATGAAATAATTCCTTTCCAAGCCAGGAAAAATTTACCAAGTTTATCTGGGAGGGTTGGGGAGTGTGGCTTGTTTGTTTGCTAGCTTATTTTTACAATTCATCACTATTTAATCTTCTGATTAAATCCCACTAATCAAGTTATCAAAACCAAGCACACTACACAAAGAGCCACCTACATGGCAAAACAGATGACACTTGCTGAAACATGCTGGGAACAAAAATCTTTGCATCAGTTCTACAAAAGAGGAACCAACCACTGAACTTCATACTATAATCTCTGAAAAGGAAAAAGATCTGACTTAAGAAGGAACAAAGTTAGAAAATATAGAAGTTGTTCCAGTGTGATGAGTAATATCAGGAACAACAGAACAGAAACCAGCCTCCTGATCTTTGTGAATGGCATGTTTAAAGTACGCTATGCTGAATGAATATTTTAATTGCTTCACTGCTAAAAAAAAGATTATTGATGAGAAAAAGTATTAACTTTGTAGCAAACATCATTCTTTGTACTACAAATAATCTCAAGACTCTAAGGGCTCTGCCTCTGTTCAGAGGCATGCTGAGCCCTCCTGGACGTTGCCAAGTGGCACCTCATGCTCCTCAGCAGTTTCTCTTGTGGATGCACTCGGGAGACAGGCTTTGCTAATTTCTAGGAAAAATGTGTGGCTCTCCCATGTTCAGCCAGTATTCCTGAGCTGCGACTTTCATTTGCAGTCGTGCTATCTGACACTAATATTCGGAGCATGCAGCTCCACCTCTCCCAGGAACCTGGGAGTCAGAAGCATACTGAAGTGATTAAAAAATACTTTCTTAAAAGTGAGGGCATTAAATATTAAATCTAAAATGCACTTCTGTCAGAAAAAAATACAACAGAAATGATACGGATGTTACACAATGCTTTACCTCACTTGATAAAATTTCTTGAATCCTGCTGCAGGAAGAACCTACTCTTACCTGGGAAAGACAAGAATTATTTTGCAAACTTTATTTGAATTTCCAGGCTTGAATACTTGGCAGAGTGGCTGTGTCATGCAGGCAGAGATGAAGTCGCTTTTTCTCAACTAAGAGCTCTGTTCTGACGCTTTTCTTCATCTGGATTACTGTCTTGCTTTGGTTTTGTTTTTCCAACAGTCCATTATTCACTAGAATTCTTACCCCATCTTTGTGTTTCCATCATATATCTATATAGTTGTTTAATACTACATTCTCCTGCAGGTTTATATGCCTGACAAATTGTGACATGGATGTTACCAGAATCTATTTATGTTTATGGAAACTGAGGAGAAGGAAATTAAAGCCTTTGTTCAAGTCCTGTAGAGTTAGATCCACAGTCTGGAGCACAATTCTGACCTAGTGAGTCTCCTGGGGCAGATCTCAGCCGAGCTAAGTTGTCACAGCTCCAGGGAGTTCAGCAGAGCTGCTGCCAAATGTCTTTGCCTACAATACTAGGATGGGTGGATAAGCAACAATTTTCACCAATGGAGCATCAAATCCCGCTCCCCCAAAGGGCTTCTGAGAGATATTTCTCTCTCCTGACTTTATATAAGAGAACATTTCTCAGTGCAATATTTATTGACACATCAGTGGCTGCTGCCTTGCCACATCTAGAAGAAAAATAAAATAGACTATGCCAGAGTCTACCTGCCTGCTAGAATTGAATAATCTGGACATCCATAAATCAATGGGTCTGGATGGAATACACCCGTCAGTGCCGAGGGAGCTGGTGGAAGTCATCGCTAGGCCACTCTCCATCATCTTTGTCAAGTCGTGGGCAACAGGAGAGGTGCCTGAGGACTGGATAGCAAATGCCACTCCAGTCTACAAGAAGGGCAAGAAGGAGGAGCTGGGTAAGCACAGATCGGTCAGCGTCACCTCCATCCCTGGAAAGGTGATGGAACAACTTGTTCTTGGCACTATCTCTAGGCATATCAAGGATAAGGGGGTCATTCAGAGCAGTCAGCATGGTTTTACCAAGGGGAAGTCGTTTGACCAACCTTATAGCCTTCTACGAGGAAGTAATAAATTGGGGGTTAGACTAGATGATCTTTCTAGGTCCCTTCCAACCCCTAAGATTCTGTGATTCTGTGATTATGATTCTGTAGTTAGCATAATAACAAGTTATCAGCAGATACAGGAGATCAACTCTTTTTTTCACACAGACCAATCCCAGAATAGCCACTTCTTAGGTCAAATGACATACTTTCAACTCTGCAGCACAACTGAGTTTGCAAAGTCATATCATAAAGTTTGTTCTTCCTGTCTCGAATATGTTGTCCCTTTTTTACACTCTTATAATTTCTAAAAAAAACCCCAACAACGCAACCAAAAGAAAAGAGAATCAGACTCTAAGTATTTAAAAAGTGGGGTGAATCCATGTTGTGGTAGTTCTCAAGTGAATCTTTTAATCCATGGACAAGGTTAATTTCTGAATGCTCTTTTCAACTTTTTCTCACTAGAAATATTTTGTGTATGTCTTTGGAATATGTTGTCAGAGAATTGCTAAATAAATACATCAGGATGCATTCTTTCACACATGGCACTGTGGAGTGTATAGCAAATCTCAGAACCAGGAATCCCAACTCATTCTGTTGAGCTGTCTCAGTGAATACTCAACATAGACCTGTGCTGATCAAAGTAAAAATAAAAGAATGGAGATAACATGAATTTTAAAATGAAAATTTTTCTGTGGATGAATGCAGAGCTGCTTCCTCTGATGAATCACATGACTTCTTCTAGTAAATTTTTGAACTTTCCTTTTAAAGTTGGCATTCAAACATTAATGTGTCTGTCTGCTTGCTGGTCAGAAGGACTTGTACTGGTCAAGTCCTGTGATGCCATGACACAGACAGACAGGACAGGAAAAGCTGCCAGACTTTCTGCTCCACAGACTGGTAAGAGTGCACTCACGTCAGTATAACACATTTTTACAGACTGGTAAGAGTGCACTCACGTCAGTATGATAACACATTTTCTTCCTCTGGTATTGTATGAAGTTTGTTTTTGCACTGCATCTCGGAACATATTTGTATCTGCACTCTGCAGATACAAAGTGAATTTGGACTCAAGAAAGGGTTCAGACCAGTGCTGGAGGCAGTGAAAATGTTACCCATGTCCTAATTAGGATAGCCTGGATGTCTCATGCCATGAGCCTTTGAGAAATGCAGTTTATCAGTTTCAAGGCTGAACTTTTGATTCAATGGATTTGGCTTCAGTGGTTAAGAAGCCAAGATTAGTTCAGAATGTGTTCATCATAGCAAATTTTCCATGATTTGGATATTAGATATTTAATCTACTAGGAGTTACATGACCAGTCTCAAGCATATGCACTAGTAAAACAAGCCAATAATGCATTGAAGATATGTCTGAAAAAATACAGATATACTTAATCATAGAATCATAGAACAGTTTGCATTAGAAGCGACCTTAAAGATCATGTACTTCCAACCCCACTGCAATGGGTGGGGACATCTGCCACTATACCAGGTTGTTCCAATACAAGAGATTGGATGTATGTATGTTAAGAAAATATATGTACAAAGTGAAGGATATTTAGATCCCTGGAATGTGAGGGCACCTGTGTTGTGAGGACATCTGGTCAATGGCTGTCCAGCATATAAACAGAGATGAAACAGGAAAGGTAGTGAATCCCACTTGTATACACAAACCCTACAGAAGAAGAGGCAATACCAAAGACCAGATATGTGAGGCTACTGATGGATGGGCTGCTGAAGGAACTGCTCAAAGGATTGGAGAGGTTCAATCAGAGTTTTTTCAAGTGGTAAAGCAGGAGGGAGAGGGAAGGAATGAATGACAAAATTATCACAGGTCTTAAGGGAAAAAGCATACTTATGGGATGCTTTCAGGTCATTGTGGCAGTGTGAAAAACTTAGGGGATGTTTAGCAGAAGGGCAAGGGTAGGAAAACAGAGAAATCCAAATGCATGGGAG